AGTTAAGTTAAGTTAAGTTAAGTTAAGTTAAGTTAAATCATGCTGTTTCAGGCCGTGGCTTTTAATGCAGAAATTCCTTGCCCCTGAATTCCTTGCTCCTGTGCTATTGGCCTTCTGCAAGGTGGCTAAAACAATCTTGTTCATATGAGCTTTTGAGCCTTAGTGATGTCACTGAGCTGCCATTTTTGTTTGGAAAATCTGACTGACCCAGCTTTGATAATACATATGCTTCTGTGCTCTACATTGCATGGAATTTTATTGCAGCTTATCTCTGTAAACCACCTGGAATCTTGGGAAAGGGGTGGCATATAAATAAATGGAATAAATAAATACTTCCTTCATGTAACCAATCTACTGCAAATGTGAAGTTCCCATTTTTCTGATCAAGTTGCAGGGATTTGATTGCAAGTGCCTTCTTTACCTTCTCTATTTAACACCTTGAAGAAACCCTCTGTTCACATACCTCTGAAAGCCAATGCTAAACAGTTTGCAAATTCTGATGTAAAGGAAATCATGCTAATACTACCAGTGGATGAGACTAACGCAGATCTTTCAGCTGTGGCTCAGGCTATCAGAGGAAATGTGGGAAGAATGTGTGTGTAAAAGGGAAGAAAGAAGACACAGTTAGGAGAGGGCCATCTGCACCAGGCTGCAGCCTTGTCAAAACTCAACCTTTGCAGTTCAAACAGTTGGATCACTCACTGCTGCTGTTTGCTTTTCTAGCCCAACTAATTTTTGCCCCATCATCAGCATTATCCAATAGATGTTGGTACTTATTACATTTTTATGCTACCTTCCTCCAACACACTCAGAACAGCATGCTTGGTTCTGTTCTGTTCTCACTTTAAGATAAGGAAGTGAAGCTGAAACACTGTGCCCTACTTCTTCACAATGGTAGTGTTTGAACAACCAGCTTGACCAGGTCACTTCAAAACTTGGTGGCTGCATTTCCATTTGTGAAGTTGTTTTGGTTTTAACCATCATAAGTTTTTTTATGGCCAGACATGTTGGACCAATCCCGTTTCATTAGTTTGATTAAATTAATTAAATCAATAGCAAAACCACATGTGTGGTGTGAATCCATCCACTCTTTCAGATATCAGTGATCCGCATATTGTACCAATATATGGTTTGTTTTAATAATGATTTATTGGCTAAGACACAATTAGCTGTGTTCATATGACATGTTAAGCAATAAATCAGGGTTTATAAAATACAGTGGCTGATTCATACAACACATTAAGTCAAAATCAAGCAAACATTATGGCGTAGTGCAGGTTGCAACCTGCTAGTATGCTAAGTCATCATGTGATTGCTTGTTTTGGTCATAATATGATGTGTGAATGTACCTGTTATCTTTTCCATTATATGGGACTGAAGACAATGCCTCTACATGTTAATTGGCTAAGCTGGATAGTTTACAGAGCTTGTCAAAGCACGTCAACACCAGTAGCAGCCTACAAACGCATGGGTTCAGACATCTATGCTTATAATTCAGTGCTAGAAATCCATCTTATTTTTCAGCAAGACACTGTTTCCTAATTTATCTTATGTAGCATATTGCCTGAGCAGATAACCAAAAAAAATGTGAATTCAATAAAAACCTGAAGAGGCCACTTAGAGTCATCTGAAATTCCTAATTCTCACTCAAAGTAGAAAATCCAAGACACTAGTAAAGTTAGCAATCTAGGGAATTTTGGAGGGGTAATTCTGATGGACCCAAATTCTGATAATGAGAGCTATTACAACCCTTCCCTCTCCCCTTCCCCAGCAATAGTTTTGTTCACTGTGCTAATCAAAAAGTTGTTTACTGGCTTTTGGTTTGTGATTATGTGTAAACCAGCCTCTGTGATTTGTAAACTATAGTTTATGGCTTAAAGAGTTGTGGTGTGATCCCAACCAATTATGAATTATTCAGCAAGCTATGGTTTTACTGCAAGGTTTTAAATAGTGTAGTAAGCAAATGCAGTCATTACAATGCATCTGTCTTCAGCTCTCAGTCTGTTACTGCAAATACCCACATGAGAACATGCTGCAAAACAAACAGATGAACCATGGCAAAAGCTTTTGTGACAAGAAATCTCATTCATGTAAAGATTCCTATTATAAATCTGTAAGCAGGGGACTGTATGTACATATGTCATCTTTGATGAATTCACTTTGAATGAATGAAAACACACATAAGCATTACTTGTTTTATAATTAAGTTATTTCAGCCTAAAAAGATATTTATCAAAATAGAAGACAAGATTGCTTATTACACTAAAAACATTTCCATTAGTATGAACAAGCAAGCAAACTGCCAAGAAAAGCCAACTTATTTGGAAATTGGTGGTGGTGGTGGTGGTGTTATTCAAGACCTCTTACGCGTCCACTTTGGAAAAGGCCAACATATTGAGCAAAGTTTGAATATTAGAGAAATGTCTTTAATTCTCTTATGAACTGAGGATTAGCTCACACAATAAAACTTCAGGAAAAAGATTTCTCAGAAAAGCTAATTCAGCCTTAAAATGTTTCTTTCCAGAAGACAAAAGATAAAATAAAAATCTTCATGTTATTTTTTCCACCATAAATCACATGGCAGAAATCCTACTGGTGCTCTTATTTATTATAGATCCAATATATCATCTAAATGTATTTTCACACACATAATTTACCCAATCTGACAGGTTGGTATTTTGTTGTAACCTTAGATCAGCCTTTCCCAGACCTGTTGAGAGTGCCTTTCCCTTGAATCCTGGTCATCATGACCAGGAATTCTGGACATGTGGTCAATACATTTAATAGATGCCAAACAGAAAATGCTATCTACAACCATTTCCTGATTAGCAACTTAGAGCATCTTCTAGAGTCATCCAATCATCACTGTGCCAAAATAAGAATAATGAGGACAGGGGTTATATCACTTTACCAATGGCTGAATGACACCATGAAGATGCTACAAGCCACTAAGTGGGGAAATGATTTAAGCAAACATGTACTTCCAAAGAGGTACAGTTCCCAAATCTCCATGCTTCTCAAATCACAAACAAACGTTTGGGGGGGGGGGAAACCTAATTCTGTCCCTGAAGATAGATGAATGTGGTTCCTTTAAGGATGAAAAGGTAAAGTTGGGGTTTTTCTAGGGGTGGAAACAAGAGGTTTCAAGTTCCTACTCCCAACCTTAAAAAATAATTTTAAAAAATTCAGAAATGGCTGGAAAATATGGCCCTGCTTTTCTTGTGATGACAATATTCGTAGAGTGGCATCATCTCTGACCTTCCAGATGATCAGAGGAGGAAATGTCTGCCTTGACCCTCAGAAAGTGATCCACCACATCCTAGGATGAAAAGGCCTTTGAGAGGGGGGAATGTTCCACAAACCCTAAGGTATTCTCACTCCCAACTCACCTTTCTGATAATACCTTTCCCAGATGATCGAACAAAGTTTTACAAAGGCCAGCTTATATTTCCCCTTGAGACTTCCTAACTATGCACATTCTTCATGAGCAGCTTTAGAAAGTTGAGCCAGGGAATGTCCAAATCACCACAAAATTTCCTTGTTTAAGTTCAGAGTGGAAACTGTCCTTCTAAATAAGTAAAGCATCATTTGAACTTTAGGAGAGCTGGCAGAAACTCTTCTGAATCGAAATAGCTAATAGCAGGGAACGATTGGCAAGTGCCAAATGAACCAGGATTTGCTGCAAAAGAACATTGTGGAAACTTCTGGCACCAAAAAGGGGAATCAGAAGCAATTAAACTTGTTCTGCTCTTGGCTACACACATCTCTCTCTCAGGATATTTCTCCTGCCAACAGACAAGAGGCTTGTCTGCACTAAAGCCTTCAACTACAGCCTCTGTCAATCTGAAGCTAATTCAGCCAGGAGCCAGGGGAGAGGTGCACTGCTGAAAACTTCTGATGACACTTGAATTATAAAGTGAGACAAACCTGAGCCCCCCTTTTAATGATACTTTCTAGGTCAGTGTTTCTCAATCTTGGCAACTTTAAGATGAGTGGACTTCAATTCCCAGAATTGCTGGGTGGGGAATTCTGGGAGTTGAAGTCCACACATCTTAAAGTTGCCAAGGCTGAGAAACATTGTTCTAGGTCCTGTTTTCAGAAGGCTGCATGGAGCGGAATATGACTTAGCTTAAATTAGAAGGTATCAGGACATACCACTGGTGAATTTTATTGTCTTTTTATTTACTCCATTTATATTCCATCTTTGTATTAAAAAAGAGTGCTCATAGTGACTGAGAATACGTGTAAAATGCAGAATTATTATAACATTAAAAAAAAACCTCCCTTTTTTCTATCAAATACTGATCCAAGCACTTGTCTAGATATTTCCTGGATTTTTATTTGACTTGAACTGTGGAGAGACAAAGATTTACTGTAAATATTCAGAATGATATAGGTACACCAAAAACCTTTGAAGATATAATATAGAGAGATTTCTTTAAAAAAATAAATTTTAATGCAGAAAAAAGGGAGGCCACAGAACAATCTAATAACTGTTTCCCTCCAAAATAAATTTTAAAAAGAGAGTGAGATTAATCCCATGTTTTTACTGAAGGACGTTTTAAAATGTGCCACTGTGGAAGAAATGTCACCTCATTTGCCTTATGACAACAATATTACTAGGCAATTTTAGCATTTCAAGTCCATCTTTTCATGACAAACCACTGACCACAAATGTTGAAAAAAAGATCATTTAAAAAAAGGTTAAAAGCATGGCAACCATTCATATTCTCCATCAGTGAATCTTTGAAGAGACAGACCTAGCTAAAAAGATGCCACAACTAAATGCATATTTAATGTTTTTGTGTTTTCAATATAGAAAAGCCAAAAATATATATATACAGTTCTTCCCTTCCCTTCATTTGGGGCACCAGCCAAACGTCTACTGTGTTGTTTTAAAAACTTTTCTTTACAGCTCTACCACATCTTCAGAGAACGTTTTTCATTATTTGTACAGAGAGCTAGAGAACTGAACATCAAACCACTCCCAAAAAGTACATTTTAAAATGGAGCCAGACAGAGCAGCTGGCTGAATTATCATCAACAGTGAAGACTGGAAGTTTTAAAAAGGAAATAATGAAAACTGCAACATGGCAGGGGCATCAGATTCTCCCTCCCAAACATCCATTTTTCCAGAGGAATATTTATAGGGCTGGGAAGATGCTGGAAGGACAACTGTGGCTGTTACTGCTAAGTAGGGTATAGTCTATAGATAAACAAAAAAGACTATGATACTGAGCATTGCCAATATAAATTAACCACAATCCAACATTTCTTTTTGAATACTAGATTCACTATGCAACAGAAATGGTCGATTTAAGGGCTACTCCATTCTCTATTCACTATGCTGCCAGTTGGAAGTGTGCTTTGTATTAAGGGCGTGCAAAATGTTCCATAATGGAATGTTCCGACTCCAGAACAGGCAATTCCAGAAGTGATTGGATCTCCAAATGAGCCACTCAAAGTATTCAGGAAAGGCTGTGGCCAGTGGTCCAGAAATGGTGAATATGGCATGTTCTGAAGTCACAATGCCCCATTTGGAGATCCTTTCAGAAGACTTGGACTTTCAAAGACTTGACCCTTCAGGTCAGAGAGGCCTGTTTTGGGAGCAAAACATTCCATAATGGAATATTTTACAGCCTTTACTTTGTAGACATGCATACACACATAGCTAGAATGTATTATCCAATAGGCAACTGTTAGGAATAAACATTTAACATGCACACTGTTGCGCATGAACCCTACACCCAAAACACCATATGGACTTCCGATGCTTTCTTACAGCTATTACTCCCTTTGAAAATACTTTCTCCTTAAAAAATATTTTCCTTAAGAAACTGAGATGATTTTTGTCATTTTTTGGACTCAATTTTAGTTGGGTTACCAAGGGCAAGCAGGTAAAATTATTTCTGTTGCTGCCCATTTCACTTGTTATGCAACACATTTTGTGATATAACAATCAGGATGCAAATCAGTGTTCTTACTTCCAGAGGACTTCCAGTTGTAGTTTGATGGTACCTAGTTCGGTTATATCCACAATGATGGTTTGAGGCCTAGTTGTAAAGAAGTCGATGCTGTCACACGATACAATGCCAACCAGGACTGTACTGAGTCCTCGCAGTTCTGTCACCTGCAAAGTATATGATAATATCAGCCAAACAGCTTTTCACATACCTTCCCCTTGCCAGATACTTGCCAGAGGAAAAAAGGTTCAGCAAAAATCCTGAGATGAAGAACTACAGGGAATATATTATAAACTAGGATTTCTAAACTACCTAAAGAAGAAGTGCTTCCTTATAAAATTAGGTGTTATTCTAATCTAAGCACTTCCTTTATACGGTCATCAATACAGTATTACTTCTGTAACTGGAGTTCTAAATGGGGCGGGGGGGTGGGGAGGAGGAAGGCAAGTTAAGAAAGGGTCCCTAATTAACTATCATGCTTCCCTCCCTTTGCAGAAATAGACCATAATCAAATAGACTCAGGGGTTGCTTCTAAAATATCAACTCTGTATCTGGAGGTGGTAGAGTGGGCAAGGTGATTTGATTAATGCTACATGCAATATCATACATAAAAACCATACAGGAAAAAAACCCCACTAAAATCAGATACATTAATTCACATTGACCCACAATCAACATTATGATGTGGAAAGCAGAACCCAACAAAACTCAATAGTTCTCTCGGATGGGGATCGTTATCTCACAGCACACTGAATATCGCCCGTGAGTCGTATTCCTATCATACCAGCTAGCATAAAAGTTGGCAAAGCAGCAAGTACTTGGCCAACTGGATTTGGAACTTGACTTTACACCTAACTTGGCTGATACATTGCATGAAGTTAATCATGACTTAATCATGATGCACTGAGTTAGGTACAACTGGCTGGGTTCAAACAACACCAAACCATAACTCGTTATTTACAAACCACAATAAAGGCAAACCAAAGAAATCGTACTAAGGTTTTGCATAATGAGTGAAGCAGATTACTGTATCTGAATACTTCACTTGATACTTTTCTTTTTATTTCAGTTAGATTTGCTCTATAGATGTGTATACTGGAAGGAATCCTGTAGCCTTCCATATGTTTCTGCACTACAACTCTCATTCTTCACTGTTAGACACACTGTTGGGTCTGGGGCCGCCAAGTAAATAAACTGTGAGTTGTAGATCAGAAACATCTCAAGAACTATAGATTACTCCAGCATAGAAAATGTACCACCCAAACAATATGATGAGAAAAGTGTTTTAATTTTATTAACCCCCTCAATATATAAGCCAACATGTAAAATGAACCATAAACCATCTTCACACACACATTTACATTACTCAAGGACATTTTACTGCTTTGACATGCGGCCTGTTTCTAATGAAACTTGCATTCTGAAATGACAGGAAAACTCTTTGTGACAGTAATTTCACACATGCAAGTCATCAGCTGACGCTATGTGAATTCATCCAAAGATGGTTTAAAACAGTGTGTCTACATGTGGAATTCTGATTAGCCAACAGTACAAAAGCCAATTCTATTACTTCTCCCTTGAATCTGGAGGAGATGACTCATCTGCATTGGCACAATGAAGGATCTGCATGTTTTCTCACAACATTTGCACAGCGCATCTCAATTAACCTCTCATCATGTAGTGAAGAAAGGAACATTTTAAGCACATTTCCATAAGCTCGGCTGGAGAGGAATCAGGAATTCCTTCCAGCAGAGCTCTGCCTACCCCCAACACACACATTGCCAGCACAAGAAAAAAGTGTGGCCAGCAAACAAGCAATGTTGCAACAGTTGCTTACAGAATGTAAAAGCTTCCAAGCAGACCATTATTCCAGAGTATTTTGCAAAAGCCAATTCATACAACCTTTTCTTTGGGATATGGAAAGACCTGTTTACAAAGGATTTGGCTGGGCTGAATCATTTATTCAGTTTAAATGGTCCACACTTAAGTTCGTACAACATACTTAAGCAAGCCAATTAAAGACCTAGAAGCTATATTCACATAACATGGTAAGCCTGGTTGGTGTTAAGATTCATCTGAGTATTGGTTTGTTCCCAACCCAAGAAGGTTTCAAGAGACAGTTGAAAAAGGCACCTACAGATTTCTCAATTATCTGGAAACAGGCAGGCAGCCTGCCAGTTCCACAAAGAGGCTGTTAAAAGAAGGCGAAGAGGTCTCCACTCTAACAAGCAGAAAGACATGCTGGGTTCTAAAATGAAAGTAATCCATTGTTGAGATTTCTGTGACATTATCCCTTAGCCTTCAATAAATCTTGTTAAATAAGGATCAGTGGAAATCTTGCTCTCAGCTATCAACAGCCTGACAATTAATTTTTTGTGATTTAGCCTTTCTAACCAACACTTGATCAAAAAGCATCGCAATTAAGATTATTCCATCAATTACAGTGGGGCAATAAAACTGTCTCACATAAGGAAGAGCAAGAAATACAATGTTGAAAAAGATAAATGTCAATCAAGTACCAACTGCTGATCCAAGGTGTCAGATCTTCAACTTGTTTGAACAGAGATGTGAAATTTCTGTTGAGAGAGGAACATGCAGCAAATACCTAGCCCTGCTACCCAGGGTGTCCACAGAGCATAGTCATAAAAGTCAAGATGGCAGCCCCAATGGTACAATCAAAACTCTGTCTGTTTTTTCATGCTCATTGTATGTGCAATGCGCATTGAAAAATGGGTGGAGCTTTGATCACACGATCATGGCTACTATCTTGCTTTTTTTGGCCATACCCTGCAGATAACCCTGCTTGCTGCCAAATGAAGCCTCCCACTCCTGCACATTCTTACCTTGATTTCAAAGTTCTCATGAAGGCTGGGTATAAAAGCTTTTTCTTCCTCCTCCCAAGTTTGACTGTCATCTGTCAGAATCTTGCCTTTTATTTTCCACTTCTGGCGCCCCAGCCGTATAAACACCTAAAGTAATATACAAACAAGAGACAGGAAGATCCATCATAAATATATTTGGGGGTTTATTTAGCAACGGAGATGGCAGCCTCATTTCTATTGGGTTAGCAAAACACACTAAAAACCTCAGCCAATCCACAGGCATAGTATACTCCATATTGTGTGCTATGGTAGTTTCCTTGTGGAGTCCTTCGGGCTCTCTGAGCCTGGTTGTTTGATTGCAGATGTTTCATTACCTGACTAGGTAACATCAGGTAGTACACAAATTACAGACTTTTCATTCACTGAACTTATTTATAATGCCCCAAAATACACAAGCCCAATATACCCCTTCATCCAATTGTATCATTACCAGGGACCCCAACCTACAACATAGCCAAAGAACTCCCCCCAGAACTTGGACACCTCATAGAGGAGTTGATATTCTATCAATCCTCCACTACAGGGCCTCCAGAAAATCAAAGACCTAAGAATAGAAGAAGATAAGATTATAGTCCCATTCGATGTCACAGCACTCTTCACATCCATAGATCCAGAACTAGCGAAAGAATCCATGGTGGCAGTACTATACAATGCATCCAACCTAGCCAAATACACTAAGATTGAAATGCTCAGACCCATGGAACTCATCAACCCTTGACTCGCTACCTATTTTCACTTCAATGGACAAATATACCAACAAATCAGAGGAACACCCATGGGATCACCACTCTCAGGATTCATACCAAAGACCATGATGCAGCATCTAGAAGCTACAGCATCTCCTCCCCCGCCACACACACACAGAGTTTCTTTTTTCAACAGTTTGCTAAATACTATACCTCATATTGGTCACCTGGACAGAGACGTGCATAACCCACCAACCCTAGGAAAAGAAACACAAGAAAAACAAGTAAGAGCTGAAATTCATAGACTCTGAGAAAAGAAATCAGTAACATAAATTGTTGACGATCCCCAAATACATAACCGTCCCTTCAACTAAATGCCCCAAAAATTATTCTGGGGCCAGCAAATCACATGAAATAGTGATACCAAAACTTGTGTTTAAATACCTCCTCCAGTAAATGAATCCTCCCGATCATAGCCCATGCCAACTTCATTCTCATGCGAAACACATTTGCATGATCAAGTGCATCATTATGGTAGATCTGCCTTAGTTCACCACATGAAGGCCTGGTGAGCATCATTTTGTGTAGTTAACATTTTGATGTGGAAAGATGCCTTAATACTTTCAGTGACCCTAGCCATGGTGCCAATAAGAGCACAGGCTCTAGGTAGGATCACCATAGTTGGTAAGACTGAAAGAGGAGAGATGAATTTAAGGGTAATCTATAATGGAAGTAAGGGGAGCTAAGGCTCTGCTGTTATGAGGGAAGCCAATCCATCTAGGAGAAGGAACTCTATATTCAAACCCAGATGGCAATAGCAAACCAGTTCTACACTGTTGCCAAGAAAATTGTATCAACATGACTCAAACATATACTTCCTAGTGACCAAATTTGAGAGAGAGACAGACAGACAGACAGACAGACAGACCGACCGACCTAAATACCAGGTGACAATATCTCAAGGTCAGAAGTCATTCCTTTAGTTACTGACGTAGATCTGGCCAAAGCAAAGCTAGAAGGAACACTGATTGTTGTTGATGCCAATATTGAATAAGAACTCCTCTTTTTACAACGAGACATATAACTGGAACATGAAACAGGAGGGTATTAATCAAGGAAAACTTGAACTGTGAAGCATACTAAATTGGATGTTTAAAACATTAAGGTGGACAGGCACAGGCCACTTTAAAGAATATTCTTAAATATGTGCTTGGGCATAAACCAATAAATGAGACAATATTAGAATTAATGGATATCAAGTGAATGTTGCTCTCATGCAAGTATATGTGCATACTACATATGGAGTGGTGGAAGGCAGGGAAGAACTCCACGGCAAATTGCAAGAGGTGCTGACCCAAGATTTTAAAAAGTGTTTGCATTCCACTAACGGGCGAGTGGAATGCAAAAGTTGAAGAACTGGGGAAATCTGGCATTACAAGAAGGTCTCAGTTGTGTAAACCCTGGAAATACGTTAATGCAGGAGATAAGTTAAAAGAGTTTTATAAAGAGAAATCTTGGTTTATTGACAATATCTGCTTCAAGCAGACACCCAGAACTGAAATGAAATCAGCTATATAAAAGGAGGCAAAATATGTACAAAGAATTCAACAGGACACTTCCACGTGCAAACTGTGGAACATACGTGAATTACTGGTGTCAAATACACAGGTTAAGCTTTCAAAATTAAAGCTTGTAGGTACGTCAGCAAGATTGAACCTGGAGGAAATATACTCAGAATAGATGATACACATCCAGTACAGTGAACATATGTGTGTGTGGTGGGGGGACGGACCTGAGGAAATATGAGAAGAGATCAAAGACCTTTTGAAAACCAAAGCAGAAAAAATATATACTAGAAAGAAAGAAAGAAAGAAAGAAAAGATCTAAATGGCTTTCCAAAAAAAAGCTATCACAATAATCAGGGAAAGACAGAGGATGAACATCTTGGGCAACAAGGACATATGACAACTGAATGCTGATTTTCTACACAAAACAAAAAGAGAGAGAGAAGGAAATATATTTTATTTATTTATTTAAATGTATTATAGTCACCCAACTCCAATGGACTGGGTAGTGTACAAAACCGAAACAATCCATAAAAACAGATAAAACCTAAAACCATATTGAGTTTAACCATAGGCTAAAACGATCTAAAAATGAAACAAAACAAAACAAAACAAAACAAAACAGCCCCCCCCCCCC